GTAGGCTTTGTGAATGGCGTCATCTCGAGTTGTGCAGTCTGCACTACGAGCAGCTGTATGCGACCTTCGTACTCATCAGATCTGCCCCAAGCCCAGAGTAGCACTTAACTCATTTTTGGCACTCAGCATCATTCAAAATGGCAAGAGAAATCTGTAAAGGAGAGGAGGGTTAAACCATTGAGAAAGCAAATTTGCAGCTTATGCTTTCCACAGATTTATTTACTAAGTGGGCCGTTTCCTGTTATCAAACAGGCAGGGAGGAGAAATGTCAGTTGTCTAGGCTCTGCAGTACTGTGCCTACTGTGACGTCTAAGCCACGAACTGGGGGCCACGTCTCTGTGGAGTGGCATGTGGCAGGGGGGCCGGCCCATGGGTGCTCTTGGGGCACACACCATCAGGTGTCACACATGCTCACGTCACACAGCCCCACCTTTCCCCAGGCTGGCTGAGACTGGGCTGGTACCTATCAGGAACCCTGCAAAATCTCATTGGCAATGCTGGGGACAGAACCCAGGGCCTTGAGCAGACTAAAAATGTGCTCTACCACGGCACTACATCCTCAGCCCTTTTATTTTTATTTTTATTTTTGAGTTAGGGTCTTGCTAAATTGCTTGGGCTGGCCTTGAACTTGCAGTCCTCCTGCCTCAGCCTCCTGAGTAGCTGGGATCACGGGTGTGCCCCACCATACCCAGTTTAACTGGTTCCTTTTAGGTGAATGCTGGAAGGACTGTTGTTAAAGAGTGAACAGAAGCCACTTGTTTATTGGTTCGAGCCTGTGTTGTTTGTTGGTTCAAGCGCTGGGCTCTTACAGGCCTCACAGTGGAAGCCCCGCTGGTGACAGGAGTGTGCTGTCCCTACTTGAGCATCACTTGGCCCCAGGGGTTCTCCCACTCCGCAGTGGTGTGACCTCCCATCCCCAGCCCACACTCTGTCTCTCCACCTGTAAGGGAGAGGTGCTCTCGACAGCCAGCTCCTGGGTTGTTTGAACGGTGAAATGAGCTGGTGCATATGGGGCATTTTGCACGGTGCTTGGCAGCTTACAGGTGCCCTGTGCCTGGTGCCTTCGAGCATAACAAGTACACAGCCTGCCATTCAGAAGTATATCCTGGGCCGGGCGTGGTGGTGCATGCCTGTAATCCCAGCACTCTGCGAGGCTAGGGCAGGAATATCACAAGTTCAAGCCCAGCCTGAGACACTAGCAAGATCACATTTTAAAATTTAAAAGAAAAAAAAAGACTAGGGATGTAGTTCAGTGCAGAGGCCTTCTGTTCACTCCCTAGGACCACACAAAAAAATGTACCCTGGTGTATGAGGGGTGACTAGACGTGCACTCGGGTAATTGTGACATACCCTGAGTTAGCTAAGAAACACAGGGCGAGTACACTTGTCCATTCACTGAGAAGAGAAATGCCCCGCTGTGGGCCGGGTGGGCTGTGGGAAGCTGGGTGGATGAGCCCCCCCACACGGCGCATGGCTGCTGCCACCGATGACAGCTGTGTGCAGAATGGAGAGGGGGACAGGTGTAGGGAAGGGGGATGGGAGCAGGTGCCAGGGAAGGTTGGGGACCTCTCTGAGGAGACACCACTGAGGCAGAAACCTGAATGACAAGAAGGAAGCAGACAAGGCCAGGGACATAGCTCAGCAGTACGAGCGTCTGCCCGGCAAGCGCAAGGTCCTGAGTTCGATACCAAAAACAAAAACAAGAAGGAACCAGACAGACAGGGGATGGGAAGGGCATTTGGGCAGAGGGAACAGCATGGTTCGGTATGTCAGAGGAAGGGCCGTGCAGGCTGGAGCTGCAGTCGTGTCTGGCAGCATCAGGTGACAGTCAAGCTCATCCTGAAAGGCTGGTGGGACCTCACAGCGGGGGCGGGGGGGGGGTAGCCACAGTGAAGTGGGGGGGGGGGGGGGGGGGTAGCCACAGTGAAGTATGGCAGCTAGGAAGCAGGGCTGGATAGGGGACAGGTGCCCCAGAGGCCATGACATTTCGGTTCTGCCTTCTCTGGGAGGTACTGCTGCTCCTTTCTTTCTACTTTCCCTCCCTCCCTCTGACTCTCCCTCCCTCCCTCCCGCCCTCCTTTCTTCCTTCCTCCCTTCCAAGACATGGTCTTCCTAAGTTTTTCATAGGCTGGTCTTGGACATGGAACCCTTCTGCCTCAGCCTCCCAGAGTGCTGGGATTCCAGGCGTGCCCACCATGCTCGGCAGCTGCTCTTCTCATTTCGGGGAGAGAATGGTCACTTCAGTTTGGCCCATTGTCCGGCCCCCACTTCCCTGCACCTTGTCGGGAAAGGAGCAGAGAGCAAGCAAATGTTCCATTTCCCTCTTACAGCAGCTCTTGTCCAGGCCGTGACCTGCTGTCGCTTTGAAAGCACAACAGACGGGTCTCATTTCATGCACAGGATGCATCTGAAGACCTCATGGGAGGCAAAACTTGCATTTTGCAAGCTGAGTTTCCCACAGGCTTAAATGTCAAGTTCAGGTGGCGCAGTGTGGGCAGGTGTCAATCTGCAGCCGTCACAGCCCAGGGGCATGTCATCAGTAGCACCTCATGCCCAACATCAGCCCCTTTCCCGGCGTCCTTCCTGGCTCGCTGAGTGTTTAGAGGGTCTGAAGCTGTCCAGGTGGTAGTATCAGCTACAACACCAAGCTGTTCTAGCTATTTTTTTTTTTCCAGTGGAACTGGAGCTTGAACCCAGGGCCTTCACACTGAGCTGCATCCCCAGCCCTTTCTATTTTTTGAGACAGGGTCTCACGAAGTTGCCCCAGCTGGGCTCACACTTGCAGTCCTCCTGCCTCAGCCTCTCAGAACACTGGTATTACAGGCATGCTTCACCATTCCCAGCATTGCTCTAGAACTTTCTATTTGATAACTCATTTGGTATGGAGAGCAGTACCGCTGGGGAAATGGAGACACAGGGAGAGGAAGGGACTTGCCCAGGATTGCCCAGTCAGTTCCAACCCAAAGGCTATGATCTTAATTACTACCTTGTATCGCCTCCCTCCCTGTCTGCTTGCCCCTGCCCAGCCTCTTAGCATCTGTAGTCTTCTTTGGGAGTACATTGAGTCACAGCTGCTGCTGCTGCTACTTCATAGCTGTTTCTCTACATCAAGTTTCTGTACTTAAATCATTGATTCTCAGGGTCATTTTGTAGCTCTCTCCCTGCCAAAGAGCGCTTGAGTGATATTATTATAGAATATTTTTTAAAGATGTTAAATTACAGACGCAGAAGTTTGGATGCATATAAACAGCCACGTGGTTCATTCTAGACTAAGTACTGACAGGTCTCCACTTGGCTCCCGTGGCGCCCCCAAGTGCTGATAGCCTAACTCTGTTCACACACCCCTCCACTCCACTCCAGTGCTGAGGTTACGCAGCTTCTTGGCTGACTGTTCTAAACTGGGAGACCTTCCTTCATACCCCTGCACATTTCATGCAAAAAGCCCAACATTGTTGAGGGTTTAAGGAGGCAACACTATTTCAAATGTACATTGTTCCAGGTTGCGCCAAAGGGTCTGAGAGCTACTGTGCTGTGGATCTGACCCTCCGGAGTGCAGTCCCTGGGCTCTGTCGTCTAATGCTTGCACTGCTTGCTTTTGGCTCCTGGTCTGTGAGGTGTAGGGAGCCAGTGTATGGGCAGGGACAGCAATGGGGCCCAGACATGTCCCTCAGGATTCCTTGGCTACCGCTGAGACCTCTCCTCCCCTCGCAGGATAGCCAGCCGGAGCAGTGACAAGGACGGTGACTCGGTCCACACAGCCAGTGACGTCCCGCTGACTCCACGGACCAGCTCCCCGGATGGGAGGCGCTCGTCCTCAGATACATCCAAGTCCACGTATAGCCTGACCCGGAGGATTTCCAGTAAGTGTCTGTGCTGGGGCCCCGGCTGGCTCTCCCAGACACCCGCAGCATCTCCAAGGAGGGCTGTGCAGGGCAGGGTTGGTGGGAGGAGCAAATAAATTGTGGTAATGGTCCAGGAGACAAGTAACAAAGAGGTCATGATACCATGATGGAGGAATTGTGTCCAACCTATATGATTTCTACTGAGTTCGGTCAAAAGTGATCCTTTTGATGGATTTATCCCTTTACTGATCACAAGTGTATTATATCAGGTCCTGCTACCTTGTTATACAGCAGGCCTTGCCAACTCAGGGCCCCTGGTGTGTGCCAGTGGCTGGGCACAGAGGCTAGTGGAGATAAACTTCAGCCTGGTGCAGTGACAGATGGTAACTGATGTTCTGTGTGGAGAGGTACTAGGGCAGCGTGGAGACCGTGGCCAGGTGGACAGTTAGTGTCCTGCTGAAAGGAGCAGGCAGCTGCTAGTCCAGTGTAGCCATTGGTGGCTGTGTGGGATTATGGGCCCAGTGTTGTCTGATCTTTCTGAAGAGAAACTGGCACTATAAATGAAAATTCCTTACCTTAAACCTAAACAAAGTATATGCCTGAGACCAATTAGGCCACCCACTGTGCTGAGTTGTGTAGTGCATGTGTTTGACCCAGTGGCACTGGGTGAGTGGGGAGGAGAAGGAAGATACAGACGAAGCTCTGGCCTCCTATCACTCCACAGAAGTGTCTGCCATCTCACCAAGCGGATGTCTGAGACTCACTGAGCCAGGGGAGAATGCTTCAGATCCCTGAGCCAAGTCTGCTCAGGTGGAGGTGACTGGTGTCTAATCGTTCCTGGAGTAGGTGGGGAAAGAAGGAGGAAAAAGAAATTCGGAGGCTTCCAGTAGAGAGGTCGAGGGGATGCTGGGCTTCTGGAGGTCTTGCTCTACCTGTGAAATGAGAGGCCTGTCCTGCATCTCTGCTGTCCAGTACAATAGCCAAAACACATGCGGCTGTTGGCCCGGAAGTGGCACAAGGCCAGATGGAGAGATGATGTGAGTGTAAAACACACACCTGACTTTGAAGATACTATGAGAAAGAAAATGTGAAGTAGTTCACTAAAATATTTTTTGTTGATTACCTGTCAAAATGACAGTATTTTGGAAGTACAAATTGAATATCCCTTGTGCTTGGGACCAGAAACATTTTAGATTTTGAATTTTGGAATATTTGCACATACGTCATAAAATATCAGGTATAGGACCCATGGCTAAACATGAAATTCATCTGTGTGTCAGATCTTCTGTGCGTAGCCTGGAAGTAATTTTATATAACACCTTGAGTGCACGTGCATTTTGACTGCCACCTGCCACATGAGGTCAGAGTGGCTTTTTCCCCAGTGGCATGAATATCACAATTCAAAAAGTAGAAACTGCTCAAAAGGAAAAAACAACTGGGATGGGGGAAAGGAGAAAAGAAGGGAGGAAGGAATAGGTATATATATATGTATATATGTACACACAAGATAGCTAAGATAATTGTACTACTAATTTCTATTGGTTCATTGAAAAGAACACTTTGTGTTTATATTGTTTGATCAGTCTCACATACCTATTTCTGGTAATCTGAGCAACTACTTTGAAGATAACAGTAGGCAATATAGTAACCATTGTTAATTTCCTATCATCTTGTTTTTAAATTCTGTACCGTTTTTAATTTTTTTATTATCTTTAAAATAAAAAACATTTTGGATTTTGGAGCATTTTGTATTTTCAGATTAGGGACAGTCAACTAGTAGGTCAAATAAAAGCAACTATTTAAATTAAATCCCACCTGTTTCTTTGTATGTTTAAAAAGTTATGACTTCTGGAACATTGTAGTTACCTGTGTGGCTCTCACTGCTGGCTTGCGTTGTCCTTCTGAGGACAGTGCTGGTCGAGGTGATTCTGTCTTGTGCCCAGCTCTGAACACAGGTGGTTTGCATTTTGTGTGTATCATTGCATCTCTTGTGCATCAGGCAAGAGTCTCCCGATGTTAGCTGACAAGACAGCTGTTTGGGCAATGAGGAGTAATACCATGAGCTCACTGTCAGAATGAGGGAGGAGCAGAGACTAGGGTGCTGGGCTTGGGGACAGTGAACTCTGCTGGCCGATGAAGAGGGGAGAGACAGTCTTTGAGCCATGAGGTTTGAATAGAGTCCGTAAAAACTGTAGTTATTGCTGTTTATTGGGTTTTTGCTCTGTGCACATTCTGTGCCAGGTCCTTTCCATGCATTGGCTCAGTGAATCTTCACTACTGTCTTTGAAGTAGGTGCTAGTACAATTTTACAGAAGGGGGAAACTGAGACGCAAAGAGTCTCCAGCATGTGCCAGGAGTCACAGGGCTCAGGAATAAGCTGAATTGGAATTTGACCCAGGCATATGGGGCCAACGTGTCAAAGCAGGGGCAGCAAAGGTGGTGGGGACAGCCAGACAAGCCAGGCCTGACACCTGCTACCGCTGTTTGTAAGGGTGCGGCCTTCGGAAGTTACTTGAAGTTTCTCTCTCCTCATCTGCACAGTGAGGGTGATAGAGATTACCTAATAATCAAGGGCGTTGTGAAATTGGATGGCTGAGAACACAAAGGCCATTTAGAACAGTGCCTGGCCCTTGACTGCCGGGATGATATTAACGGTGACAGTGGTGGTAATGCTGGCACACAAGTCAGAGCACAGTCAGCCCTGTGTATCCACAGTTCTGCATCCTCCAGTTCAACCAGCCATTATCAGAAATATTCGGGGGAAAAATGCTTCTGTACTTAAACGTACAGATTTATTTCCTGTCATTGTTCTCTAAATGATGTAATGGAACAAGTAATTAGAAAGTGTTTATGTGGCACTAGAGATTACAAGTAATAGAGAGATGATTTGAAGTATATGGGAGGATCTGCGCTCATTATATGTAAATATTGTGCCATTGTATATGAAGGGCCTGGGTATCCTCCTATTTTTTGTACCCATGGGGGGTCCTGGAGCCAGTCCCCAGGCATTGAGTGATAACTGCAGATCCAAGTGCACAGAGATGAAGAGCATTTTGAAGCAGAACGAACAATGTGAGAACCTGTCAGCTGTTGCCGATGTCACCACCTGGCCCAGGGAGTGATACTCATTCTGTTTCTGGCTCTGTTTAGGTCTTGAGTCCAGACGGCCCAGCTCCCCGCTCATCGATATCAAACCTATTGAGTTTGGCATCCTCAGTGCCAAGAAGGAGCCAATCCAGCCCTCGGTGCTCCGACGGACCTACACCCCAGACGACTATTTCAGGAAGTTCGAGCCCCGGCTCTACTCCCTCGACTCCAGCAGCGATGATGTGGACTCTCTGACCGATGAGGAGATCCTGTCCAAGTACCAGCTGGGCATGCTACACTTCAGCACACAGTACGACCTGCTGCACAACCATCTCACCGTGAGGGTCATCGAGGCCCGGGACCTGCCGCCTCCCATTGCCCACGATGGCTCCCGCCAGGACATGGCGCACTCCAACCCCTATGTCAAGATCTGCCTCCTGCCCGACCAGAAGAACTCTAAGCAGACGGGGGTCAAGCGCAAGACCCAGAAGCCTGTGTTCGAGGAGCGCTATACCTTCGAGATCCCCTTCCTAGAAGCCCAGAGGAGGACCCTGCTCTTGACCGTGGTAGACTTTGATAAGTTCTCGCGCCACTGTGTCATTGGCAAAGTGTCCGTGCCTTTGTGTGAAGTAGACCTGGTGAAGGGCGGGCACTGGTGGAAGGCACTGATTCCCAGCTCGCAGGTAAGGCCAGCTTTGCGGTGTCTCCTCCTGCAGGCTTTACTGAGCAATGAGCACTTTTATTTCATTTTACTATTTAAGAAAGTTTGTGTTAGTTATAATACTTGTTTGTACTGAAATAATTTTTGGCACATAGGAAGTTACAAACATAGCACAGAGAGTCCTCATGTCTTCGTCCCCCAAGGATGACATCTTACACCCCAGAGTACATTAGTCACACCAAGAGGTAGACATGGGAACCTAGACCAGGCCTTGTTCAGATCTCACTGGTTTTGATGCATGCCGCTGTGTGCGTGCGTGTGTGTGTGTGTGTTTCTGTAAAATCTTATCACAGATATGGATGCATGTAACCACCACCCCTCTGGGAGCTTTTTCGTCATTGATGCTGAGTTATTTAATCAGGAGAATGATTGTCCAGGGTATAAAGCTATCAATCATTTTGACTTTCAGAAATTGATTTGGCAGGAAAGAAAAGTGAGGGCAAGAGGACTGGATGATGCATGGATGCTTCTCAGGCAAATGGTTAGATCGGCCTCCTTCCCCTGTGCAGCCCAGGGAAGTGCAATTGGCTGCTGAGGAGGTCACCCGTGGGCCTGGTTGTGTCCCCAGTGGGCTGTCAGGCGTTTCTGTCTGTACCTGCTGTGGGTACTGGGGTCTGGAGGGAAAAGATTCAGCCATAAGAAGCCCCTCCAGCATGGCACACTGGTGACAACAGTCCACTGTGATACAGACGCGGTTATTTTACAAGGACACCCTAGGTTCATCTCAAAGGTGTGTCTCTTGGTCCAGGATTTGATTGATGACCCAGTGCACATTCACAGGTATAGTTTTGTTTTTTTTTTTTCCCTTGGAGCTAGAGATGGAGCCAGAGCCTTATATTTGCTGAACACATACTCTACAACTGATGCATACATTAGCCCTGGGTGCAAGTTTTGTTCTTTATTTTTAATTTTTAAAATTTTTATTAGTACGTGTTTGCAGGTTTTAAACATGAGGCCCAAGAGGGATGGTTTCCCTGTAAGAGTGTGTGCATGGGGGTGTGTGTGTGCACGCGTGCATGCGTGCACATTTGCAAAGGTAGAGGTTTATCCCTTTCCTGGATTGAATTGTCTAAGAAGACACTGAGGCAAAGGACATCATCTATCAGGGAGATGACACTGGTAGGGTGCAGCAGCGCAGAGCAGGAAAGTCACATAAAGGACACACAACTGAGCTGGCTCTGTGGTGCTGATGGTCCTTCAACCTGCCGGGGAGACTGAGGGTTCACGTAGCCACAGGCCACCGTGGGTGAGGGAGCCATGGGTTTGCATAGGCACTGTCTCCTCCCAGCACTGAGTAAGGGCTGCTGGGAGTTGGGAGATCAAGTCTCTGCCCCTTCTGGCCTGTGGCCCCGGCAAATACGAAATGGTGCATGAGTGGGCAGCCGGATAACAGCCCATGTGTGCTGAAGCTGTGCGGGAGCGGGGAGGGTGGGCGGGTGTTAGCAGTGCCCACTGCTGTCCCGGCATCCCCCTCCCAAGGTAGCCTGCCCATCACACCACCCAGAGAGGTTGTGTGTTTTCTGTACCTCTTCCAGGATATCTGACATCACTGGGTCTTTAAGGAAGGACCCTGTCTCAGCCATGTAGAATCTTACAGCGTAAAGGACACAGTAAGTTCCAATTTACAAGGTTCTGTTCTTCCTCACAGAAGATGTGGAGAATGTCCACACAGCTGGCCTCCTTCATGTCTTTGCTTGGATGGCCCCTCAGTAGAGCCTTCCTGGCACATCACTGTAGTCTGGTTCCCTCTCTCCTCTGGTTTCTCTCCCTCCTTCTCTCCTCCTTCCCAGCTCTGGTGCAGACACATGGGTGGGAGACAGAGAAACCTAGAGCAAGGGAGCTTGACCTCCATTAAGCTGGCCACATCCCCTTCCCATGGGGGCCGTGGTGGTGATGCATGGCACCCCCACCACATCCTGCCTGTGTGTTGGGGCCCTCTGCTTTCTCTCGGGCGGAGTGGAGGTATGACACCACCATACAGGTGTGAGGCCAGGTGTTCACACCGTCACCTTGTTGAAGGGCCTACTGGGTGGTAAGTGGCAGTTCTGGTTGTTAGGAGGGGACATGGTCTGTTTTGCGCCTCTTCAGAACAAGGCTGCACTTCGTCATTTCCCAGGGTGCTCTGTGGTAGGAACTGGGAAGGCAGGGAGTGTAAAGGTTTCTGACCGTTCCTGACACTGTGCCTTTGTAAGTGTCCCTAGGGAGCTGCCTTGTCCCTTCCTCTATGTGACCATGAAGGCTTTCACCATAGACTACATCTGCCAGTGCATTAACCTCAAACTCCCAAGCCTCTGGGATGTGAGAAATACATTTCTTCTGTTTATCAGCCACCCAGT